CTAAGTAAGGTTTGTGATGCTGCTTAATAGAAATTTTTAGCTTACCTATTAAAATAATCTCATTTAATGATTTTTTTTTTGCTTCAACCAATACTTATCCTTCTTTTTTTATCATGTTCAGTTGCCTATTGCTAGTTTGCTGCTGTAACCTTTTTCATCTAAGTTCAACTACTTTATCCAGTAAGATTTTATCTTATTTTTTTTTATTATTTATCCCCTAAATCTATTGACTTCTTTATTTTTACCAAAGAAAAAAAGTATTGTTATTATTCTTATTATGATTATTATTGTTAATAGTTATGTTGTTATTAGGAATTTTATGAATAATAGCATTTATTAGATGACATATATATATATATATATATATATATATATATATATATATATATATATATATATATATATATATATATATATATATATATAACATTTATTATTTATTAGTTGTATATATATATAAAAAACAGACTATAATATAATAAATTATTATCAAAACATGTCTCGACAATCTTGGGAAGTTCTCTGGTCACCAAATAATCCTAACAAGTTTGTAAAGTATATTGCAAGTGACTCAAATTCAGATATTGTATTGTATAATGTTTTCAATAGTGATGATGTAAGTTTAATTTAAAAACAAAAAGTATTCTTTATAATTATATGATATTTAAATTTTTTTTTGTTATTATAATAAATTTTATAGCTATATAAACTATTACACAAAACCCTTATTTACCAAACTTTTGTTTTTATTATATAGTATAGTTTAATGTAGTAGCTACTAAAAACACCAGCAAATGTAAATTGCACCTTTTTACAGCTTTTTTATGTTTTAATTGAAGTTTTCTTCAACTCTTTTCAATTCATTAAAATTATTCATAAATGTTTTTAGATTTTGTTCAAAGATTTTTGTTGACAGCTTTTTCTGGCAGATAATTCCATAATTATGCAACTCTATTTGTTATATCTAACTCCACTGTTAATAATTTTCCTGTTGAATTTAAACCTGAAACCTCTCATATTATATTTTTAAACAATAATGGATCATCAATCCACCATTGTTTATTCAACTTTATTTATTCCTTTAAACATTTTCAATATCATGTTCCCTGGTTGTCTTCTCTCCTTTAAAGTTATTAAGTTAAATTGGGCAAGACAATCTTCATATGTAAGGTTTTTTAGATTGAGGATTATTTTAGTTGCTCGTCTTTGCACTTTTTATAGATTAACAATATCTCCTTTTTTATTTGAAGACAAAACTAAAGCAGCAAATTCAAATTGTAGTTGCAAAAATATTTTTGTAAAGTAATTTAATTATAATTTCATTCTTATGTTTAAATGTTTTTTTAATTTGACCCAAGATTAAATTTGCTTTTGATGAAGAAGTTATAATCAGTTGTTTTCACTTTAGATCATCCATATATTTTACTCCCAAATCCATCTCTACAATAATCCTTTTCAGTCCTCTCCTGTTGATTAGATGAGAACAATTCTCATTTTTTGTTCCATAGCGCATCACAAGACATTTGTGAATATTAAAAGAAAATAACCATTTTTTTGATCAAAGAGCTTCATCTAAATTAGCTTGAACTTTTTTAAACAAGATGACTTCATATCAGATGATTAAATCAGCTTTTGATAAGATTTTTGTAAAGCAAAAAGTTTTCTTATATTTTGAAGACAATAAAAAAATTATCAATAAGTATCAAAAATCACCTTGTTAGACTCTTTGATGTCTATTACCTATAAACACTTTTATCCACTCTAAAAGTTTTCTACAAACACCATACACCTTAAGTTTTAAAATTAAACATCTGTGTGGTACAGTGTCTAATGCCTTAGCAAAATCAACTGGTAGTTTATTAGCTAAAGAATAGAAAATGAATTCAACTGTTTCAAGAAGATATTTTGTACATGATTTTGATTTTTCAAATCCATATTGATTGGACGAAATTAAGTTATTACTATACATTGAATTTTCTAGGAAACTTTTATAAAATTTTTTTGAAATTTTACACAAGGTAAAGGAAACAGGTCTGTTTTTCAATACTGACAGCTTTTCGTTTTTTTTTAAACAATGGTTTTACATCTGAGGATTAAAATTGAACAGGCAATATGGCGATATTTAAAGAAACTTGAAATTTCAAAGTAATTGGAGGAACCAATGAGTCATGGCAATATTTTAAAACTTTTGGATATACAAGATCAGGTCCTATTGATTTATTACATTTTGTATTCTGTAGTTTTAATTTAACAATTTTAATAGTGATAGCAGAAACATCAAAATCAATGTTATCATTATATCAATTATAAAAAAACACAGTGAAATTTATTGTACAATATATCAATCAGTATAATGAATTTGGATCGTTAAAAAGAATTGTGAATATAAAAAAAACAGTCAAAAATTATATATATGAAGTATTTTGACAATAAACATATCAATAATATTATTTAATGTATTTTTATGTTTGTATTTTTATCACTTGTTTGTTTTTTTTTGGTATTTTTTATGTTTGTACTTGCATCTTTTTTTATTGTTTAGGTGCATGTATTTTTATCTTTATTTTTTATTGTATTAATCTTCATTTTGTAGAATGATGTGTTTATTCTAATACATTTAATCTTATAATTTTTGTTCGTTTATAGAACGGTTTACCTCAATCATCAAAGAATAAATCTGGTAAATAGTTTGCATTATTATAAGTTTTGTTTCTTTTTAGTTCACAGCAAAACAACAAGGTTTTCACTATTGTTTTTTAGATCTGATACCTTAGTTTAATTTTATTTTTTATTTATTGTAAATTAGATAAGGTAATAAGGTAAAAATAGTCTCTAGAAAATGGTAGAAAAATAAATAATGCTAGATAAATTAATAATAATAAATAAAGAAATAAATAAAACAATAATCATTTATGTCTTCAAAAAATTATTTTTGGATCCAATACAAAGAGGATTTTTCTCATTAGAAATAGTTTTCTGAAATTCTCTGTAACATCGTCATCATCATCATCATCATCATTATCATCATCATCATCATCATCATCATCATCATCATCATCATCATCATCATCATCATCATCATCATCATCATCATATCATCATCATCATCATCATCATCATCATCATCATCATCATCATCATCATCATCATTGTCATCATCATCGTAATCATCATCGTCATCATCATCATCATCATTATCTTCTTCAATATCTTATGAATACTTAAGATTTAATATTTTTTTTCTTTATGTGAAAATGTGCAAATTTTTCTTTAAAATACAAGTTAATTAAATAGTTAATTAATTTGCTATTTATATTGATTTGTTTTTAGTTGTTTAGTTAAAAGATGTATAAATTTAAAATATGTTTGATGTAAGTTATTATACTAGGTCTAAGATGTAATAAAACATCTATATATATATATATATATATATATATATATATATATATATATATATATATATATATATATATATATATATTTATAACTATAATAAAAATAATAACATTATTGTTATTATTTTTATTATAGGGTAATTCCACATCAAATCACCCAAATTTTTCAAGATTTTGAACCATAGGTCTCATATTTTCTTTAAACTTCTTTAGCTGTTGCATTTCATATAGAAAAGTTCACATGCAAAATTTTAGCCAAAAATGTTCAGCCGTTCACAAGATATCAAGGTTTTAATATAGACCTGGTTTCCCAAAATGACCTGGTTTCTGTGTCATTTTAAAAAAACGTTTGCTCTAATAAAATGAAAAATAATGAAAATAAAATATGAAAATTAGCATTTATAATGCTTTTCTAATGCAGAATTCAAAAAATGCACTTAGAATGCTGAAATATGAGCAGAACATGCTTTAAAATTAAAAACACACCTAATTTATATATTCAAACTTAGGGGTCATATATCTCAAAACACCCCCGTCTAGATTTTTTTTTTTTTGCTTTTAATATTTTTAGCTACTTATTATCTTACTAGGCACAAAAAACCTAACTGGAAAAACAACTAAAACATATAGAACCATAGTTTCCAAGATACACCACTTTTATGGGTGCCCATAGCAATTTTCTAACGAGGGGGAGGGGTGAGGGAACAACAAAATATTTTTAGTGATGTTCTAATTTAGTTCAATTTACCAAGAATACTTAAAAAAAAAGCATATTGCAAAAGATATGGTGAAAACAACTTTTTTTTATTACAGTTAGAGGGGAGGAGAATAGTGTTTCAATAACACCTGGCATTGCCATATCTCTGTCATTTAAACCATTTAGCCAATAAAACATATCAAACTACTTTGTATGAACAGTAGTTACTTAGTAGTGATAAGTTGTAGATGATAAGTTGAGACATCATTGTTAACTCTTATCAAGCTCCAATTATCCTACAGCCAAAGATTTGGAAATATCTAATACTATATCATTATTTAATATATTTAAAACTAGAGCTTTTTTTTTTACTGAAAACTAAGTAGGAAAGTTCTTTTTTTTTTTGTATCCTTCGAATTGCTTTTTTCTTACTGCAAAAGCATTCAATACACTTCATTGCAAACTAATTAAAAAATTAAAAGGGTATGGCATCACTTAAAAGCTGCTAAAAATCTTCCTAAAGATAGTACATGTGTAGCAAATTATAGAATTCTGTAAAGAATTAATTTTGGTTAATAGACTTTTTATATATTTAAGGAAGTCTTAATTATATGATAACTAAATTATATGAACTTAACAACTGAAAAAACATCCGGTTTTGTTTTTATATAAAAACATTTTATAAAAAATAATTATGTTAATATGATACTTTTTTTAATTTTGACAACTATAGTTTATTAAAAATTAGTTTATAAAAGTTTAGTTTATAAAAGTTCAGATATAGAACAACATTTATTGGTAAGATTATATTTAAATTTTAAAAAATTAATAATTTAAATAATATAATTATTTAAAAACTTCTTTTTTTACAACATTTATTAATATTAATAATAATAATATTAAGAACAACATTTATTAAAAATTATATTTATTAAAAAACTTTTTTTACATACAATTAAGTAGAAGAATTTTATTTTTATTTTTAGGAAATACTTTCATACTAAATAATTTATCTTATTAAGATGTGTTCTATTGGGTTAATGACATCAGATGCTTGCAAAGGCCAACAAGATGTTATTGAAACTTTAAGCAATGAAGAAAAAATAATTATATCTTTACGCTGTAATATTGAATTATCAAACTTAGAAATATTATGTGAAAGACATAATACAAAATATTTGAAAATGTATCCTATATGGCAGAAAGCTTGTTGTGATCCATTCAATAGACATACAAAGAAAATCACAAGTATGTAGCTGTAAAATTTAAATATTTCATTAATTTATGTTTTTCAAAAAATAAACGAAAGTTTTGAACTAATGTGCAGACATACTTTATACAATTCAATTACTTTTAGAAAATCTTGGCGTAGTTACAATAAAAGAGTCACAAGTCATGATGAGAAATTGTTTGAATATTCCTCCTGGGAAGAAACTTTGCAAACCTTGTAAACAAAAGATTGCCAGAAAAAAAGAACTTACAGAAGAGGAGCAAAGTAAGAGTGAACAAGATGAGGATTTTCTAATATCACCATGCAAAAAAATAAGACAGGAGATCAATAACGAACTCAAAAATTTTAGTTTATCTCCTCTAAAATCTCATTCAAAATCATTAAAACATATACTGTCAGAAGGAAAGCAAAAAGTTGCATGCATCAACGAAATGGCGTATAACGCTACTAGAAAAATTGAAACTCAATTTTCCTCAAAACTATGTTATGAAACCAATGGGATAAAAAAGAAGGCTGCAAACTTTGATGAAATTATGAGCTTGGTAAAAGAAAAAATTCTATGTTCTGACAAACGAACTATTGTTCAACTTCTAACACTGGCACCCCCAAGTTGGTCAATATTAGAAGTACAAAATAACTTTTCGGTTACAGAATACCAGGCCAAGATGGCTAGAAAAATTTTTAATAAAAAAGGATTGTTAGGTATCTCTCCATTGTATAAGGGTAAAGTCTTACATAAAGAAATAGAAGATTCAGTTAAATTGTTTTATGACTCAAGTGATTTATGTCGAACTATGCCTGGAAAAAAAGATTATGTCAGCATTCAAAAGAATGTCCACAAACAAAAAAAACTGCTTTTGTGTAATTTAAAGGAACTATATGTATTATACAAAGAAAACAATCCAGAAATACAAATAAGTTACTCAAAATTTGCTTCACTTAGACCAAAGTGGTGCATTTTGCCAGGTGCAAGTGGTACACATTCTGTTTGTGTTTGTTCTTATCACCAAAATGCCATTTTGCTAGTGGATGCCTTAAATATTGAACTAACGTATAAGGATTTACTTTTGAAAACTGTTTGCTCAGTAGAAAACAAAGAATGCATGCTTGCACAGTGTGATAATTGTCCTGGTAAAGAACTGCTCACCATGTATTTGTATGAGATTTTTGGAGAATACGAAGATGATTTTGAGATACACTACAAACAATGGCAAACTACTGATCGTGCAACACTATTGAGTTTAACAACAGATGTTCCAACGTTTATTGAACTATTGGTATCTTGTTTTGAAAAGCTACAATCTCATTCTTATATTGCCAAATCTCAATCACAATACCTTAATCAACTAAAAGAAAATATGGATCAATCAAACATTATCATTCTTGGCGACTTTGCTGAAAATTATGCTTTTGTAGTCCAAGATGAAATACAGAGCTATCACTGGAACACCCAACAATGTTCTTTACATCCATTAGTGATATACTATAAAGAAGAAAATGGTGTAGTGAAACATATTTCTTACTGTTTTATATCAGACGACATTATACACGATGTAACTTATGTATACAAGATATTTCAACTAATTATACCAATATTAAAAACAAAATTTCTTGATTTATCCAAATTGCATTTATTCACTGATGGTTGTGCAGGACAGTACAAAAATTGTAAAAGCTTTTACAATCTATGCCAACTAGAGACAGAATTTTCCCTCAAAATTGAATGGAACTTTTTTGCCACGTCCCACGGAAATTCACCATGCGATGGAATTGGTGGTACTGTAAAAAGGTTAACAGCACAAGAAAGTTTAAAACGACCATACAGAAACCAAATTCTCACATCAGAGGCTATGTATGAATTTTGTGTTGAGAAAATTAAGGCTGTTAACTTCATTTACATAAAGGGATTGGACTTACAATTGCAACGTGAAAAGCAAAAAGAAAGGTACACTGATGTAACAACTCTACCAGGTACTCGTAGCTTTCATCAATTTATACATCTTGGAGATAATAGGGTTGGGGCGAAGAGGTGTAGTACAGACACTAAATATACAATAATTCACAATCTTAAAAAGAAACATATATTTGAACCTGATACTGTCACTTTAGGAGGTTATGTTGCGGTAGTTTATGATGATAAGTGGTGGATCGGCATTGTAACTGAAATCAACCTAGAAGAAGTTGATGCTGAAGTTAAGTTTCTCCACCCAAGAGGTCCATCAATCTATTTTAACTGGCCTGAAAGAGACGACCACTGTTTTATTCCTAACATCAATATATTGAAAAAACTATCTGTTCCACAAGCTTGCTCTAGTTCTGGTAGAAACTATGTGTTTGAAAATGTTGAAATAGAAGAAGTGCAAGTAAAATGGCAACAATATTGTGAACTATTACAAATACAGTCAAAATAACTTGCACATTCGATACCTTTAAAAATCTTGTATATTTAAGTAACTTTGTAAATTAGGAATAATTTATTTTAATTGAATTTATAAATATTTTTTAGGAATTTCTTAAAAAAGTTATACATCTTTAAAATTAAAGTTCTATATGTTTCAGTTTTTTTTCCAGTTAGATTTTTTGTGCCTAGTAAGATTATAACTAGCTTAAAATATTGAAAGCGAAAAAAAAAAAAATTTGACGGGGGTGTTTTGAGATATTGGGCCCTAAAGTTAGATTATATAAACTAGTTGATTTATTAATTTTTAAGGATGTTCCTCTAACATTTCAGCATTTTAAGTACATTTATTGAATTCAGCATTAAAAAACCATTATAAATGTATATTTTTATATTTTTGCCATTTTTATTTCTTATTTTATTGAGGAAAACAACTTTTCAGAATGTTATGAAAACCGGGTCATTTTGAGAAACCAGGTCCAAATTAAATTTGCTGTATCTTGTCAACCGCTTGACATTTTTAGCTGAAATTTTGCATGCAATATTTTTTTATAAATAGGAATCATGTGTCAAAATTTAAAACAAAAAGAAGACACATGGTTCAATGGAGTGGGTGATTTGATGTGGAATTACCCTATAATTATTTATTTTATTATTTTTATCATAATTTTTTTTTTGGTATACCATTGATATACTATAATGATAAAAAAAAAAAAAAAAAAAAAACTTAAAGTTGCCAGATTGTAATCATTAATCAATTAAACAAGTAGATTTTTATTATTTTTCAGTCAACAAACATTTAGTTGACATTCAGCTGATATTGATACATTGAAAAAAATTTAATCATGTTCCAATTGATGTAACAATGTTAGCAGTAATATAGAGCGACTGTGATTTTTCCTTTTTTTTTTTTTTTTTGTAGTGGTTCATATCACAGATGATATATTTGCATATCCTGTTGCAGACTACTTGGAATTTTCTTCTATCAAGGTAAAGTATTAATTATAAAATGATGAAATAAAGCTGTGCAACAATATAAAATACATATTTATAAAATAGAATAAGTTAAATCAACCAAAAAAATTTTTGGTTGCTTTTTTTTGGTTTTTTGATTGCAAGCTTGACAGTATTGTTAACATTTTAGCAATATGGTATCTACAACAAAAAAAAAATAATAATAATAATAAATATAATGATATCTACAAGAAAATATAATAATGTAATACATGTATGACATAAAATAAAATAATACATGTATTCATAATGTAACTGCTTGAAGATTTTTTAACTGAAAATTTATTGCAGTTAAAAAAAAATCTTTCAGGAAAAAGGAATTGAATAGTGCTATTCACTCAAGTTTATTGACAAAAGTTCATTAACGAAAGATCATTGACAAAAGTTCATTGTCAAAAGCATCCAAAATAAATGGATTGACATCATTAAATTAAAATTTTGTGTTCAATTATAATTTAAAAGTAAAAATGTTTTCTTTGGTTATGATTTGAAAAGTTCATTTGTTTACAACAAAATAATACCTTTTTTACAGCCAAAAAATGTTTATGGTAAAAAACTAAGTATCGATACCGATTGTAGATATTCTGTTAAAACTTTATGTAAATGAAAATGAATATTAAAATGATAGAATCTTCTCTTTTATTCAGTCTGATACACTGTTAGTCTATCACTTTATTCTATTGATGTAAAAATTTTAAAAAGTTTTTTTGTTTTGTATGTACCGCCCTGGTAGTACCATGCTCAACTTGTTTCTCCGCGCAGTGGCCTTGTTCGTCAAGGTTCGTGTTTTGGAGTTATAGAGTTGAGAGAGGGGTCTAACCACAAGTAGCCTCCTCATGTAGTGGCCTTCTTGGCCTTGGGGAGGTGAATTACCAACAAAAAAAAATGTTCAATTTAAATTTAAAGTACAAATAAATAGCAACAATAACAAACATTTCACACAAAAATTAGTAAAAGAGTTTAGATTTTAGAATGGATAAAAGTCTAAAACTTTGTGACATTTATCACTTAATAGACTTATTATTATGAGAGATCGTAATATATTCTTTTTAAAATTTTATTTTAAATATAATAAACAACAAAATGTAACATAATGAACATAAAATATAAAATATTAAATACTAAATACATATATTACAACACAAAAATATTAAATATATTTTCATGTATAACAACACAAAAATGTTAAAATATTTTCATGTATAACATCACAATATATTTTCATGTTAAAAATGTTAAAATAAATTTTCATGTATAACATCACAAAAATATAAAAATATATTTTCATGTATAACTACAAAAATATTAAAATATATTTACATGCGTAACAACACAAAAATATTAAAATATATTTTCATGTAAATTTGTGATTAAATTTTGAAATGTTTAACTTTAATAACATTAAAATGCATGTAAATTGCATATTTAGTGGGCAATATGGTATGTGTTTTAACAACACACATATCATTCCACCAACAATTAAATGATGTATTGATTGTTGAATGGTGTTTAAATTGTAGTTTAAATGTTGCTTAAATTGTGACAGAAAGTTTATCATTATATTCAATTATTGTTTTTTGGTAAATTTTTATTTAGTGTTACATATTTTTAATTTTTTTTCTAGTCTATTGCATGGTGTCCTCAAAAGGATTTGAGTGATTACTGTGTTCTTGCAGTGGGCTCATCCAATGGAAGAGTATCATTGTTGAAGTATGATTTTGGAATTAAAATTAATTACATTATTATCATATTCTATTTTAAAAAATGAATGCATTATATAATCTTATTTAATAGTATAGGTGATGCTGTTCCTTCTAGTACAGGGTTGGCATTAAACCAGGAATTTGGTAAAGTTATCGTTTTGAATAAATATATAATTGAATATTGTAAAATATTGTAAAATTTATTAAATTGTGTTAAATATTGTAGAATTTATTAAAATTATGTTTAATATTGTAAAAAAAGTATTGTAAAAATTAAATATTGTAAAATTAATACCAAAAATTATATATAATATTAAATTAAAAGTGTAACATAAAGTATAACAAAGTTGGAACAAATTGACAAGCGCATTCTGGCTTCAACTTTTGCAAATTCATTCAAAATTTGATGCTTTTTAAATTAATTTTTATTTATGTTAAACTTTATTGTTTAAATTTTTTTTTTTTTTTAAATTTAAAAATTTTTAATTTTCCAGAGCACTGGCCTATTAAAAAGTCAATTTTTTAGTTATCTACAGCAAAATGATTCAGAAAAAAAGAAAGACACTAAGTCAAGAAAATATAATTGGTCAGTAAAATGTGGATGGTCAGGAAATATTGTTGCCTATTCTGAAAAACGGATAGAGAAAAAGGTGAGACATAAAAAAATGACTGCATTTGATAAATGGAATCTGTGTTCACAGATCAAAGGCTTTGAATTCCACATGTACCAGAATCAAAGAGCGCTGGGAATTGAAATGGTTTGAATTGCATGTCTTTATCATGTGATGGAGGTTGTCTTTTAAAATATTTTTACAAGAAATGGTTGTCTATTTACCAAGTGCTCTTGAAATTCAACTGATGAGAGATAATAAAAAATGTTATGTTTGTTGTCTGGCAAAAAAGTATGAGCTTTTAGTCCAACACATTATGCCAGATTGATGTCAAAAGATATTTACACAATAAAAATCTTTCTTTTTACATCTCAGTTCAAGATGGTTGCTTGTGAATCCATGAATATCACTGGCTATTGGCTAAAACATTTGGCTAAGTTTGTCAATCTTGTTTACATCAAGTAATAAAACAAAGCACTATTTGAAACTATGCCCTTTCAATGGTATCAGTTTTTTTTTAAATCTATAGACCTATCTAAAAAAGATTGTTGCTAGAAAGGCACATAAGGTATTTTCAAGCCATCTTTGTTTTTTTTTCTAAACATCTGGTTGACATAGCTTTAGTTAACATTTAGATGACAGATTCTCAGCTTCAATCAAAAGATAGTACATAATCTACATTGACTAGCATTGGCAGACATCCCTTTGATGTGTAAAGTTGACAAATGAGTTTGAACAGTTAAAATCAAAGGATTTGTTGATAGACAAGTCGACTTGATTCTTTAATGTTCTCATGGAAGAAGCCAAAGAAAACTCTCAGATGTTTTTAAAGAAACCACAGGGAAAGTTGAAATCATATCTATAATATTTGTACATTATGATTTTAGGAAATATTTTAATGAAATTAATTTAAATTAAAAGCGTTTTTTTATTATACATAATGTTTTTAGCAAATGTTTTTACAAAATTAAAGTTTAAAATTGAGGTTAAAAATGTTTATTATTACACATATTTTTTGGAAAATTAAATTAAAAAATGCTTCTTACAATTAACATTTATTTATTAAAAGTTTTTAATTTAACAATAAATTTAATTAATTTAGTTTTGTATAAAATAATTTTAATTATTTCTGAAAAAGTTTTGTTTAAATTATATAACTTTCAAAATTTAAAAAAAATTTAATTTTAATTGTTTTAAACTAAGAACTTAGTTAAAATTACACTATTGATAAAAGAACAATTAAAAGTTGTAGTATTTTTTCATTTAATTTTGTTATTGTTATTATTACGTTTACATTATTATATTAAAGCTTTTGATTTATTGTTTATATAAAGCAAAAACCTGTGTTCTAATTTAAACAAAATTAAAGACATTAATATTTTACTTTTATGGGAAAACCTTAATTAAAAGTATGTGTATGAGGATTAAATAAAGACATTTTAAACAATATACAAACTTTATTGTTTAAGTAAACAACTTTTATCTTCGTTAAAACATTTTATTAAAAATATTCTATTTAAAATCAAGTAAATAAGTTATAATTTCATCCTCCCATATTCTTAAGATAAGTGCAATGTTATGCTCTACTAATCTTATATTTTAGTAACAAATTATAATTTTATAGTTTGTTACTAGATTAGCGAGTCATTGAGTGTTAATTGTAGAAAATGTGTAAATTTAAAAAAGGAAAATTTTTTTGGGGAAACTTTGAATTAAAAATTCTAGTAAATTTACATCACTACAATGAAGTCATTAAATGTTAGATTCCATTCATATGACTACTATATCCTGATAAAAAAGAACCTTGTACTAATCTAGAAAGGCAGTTAGAAAGGCAGTTAAATGTAAACACAGCCTTTGGGCACAATACTGAGCTAATAATCTAAGAAAGAATATAAAACAATGTGCAAAAATATGCATAATCTTGCACAAAAAGCAAATTATGAGAGATTCATGGTTATAAATTGATCCAAAAAGACTATACAGCTATGTGAAACATAAATAACATGTCACAGTTAGATCACTAGAACATAAATAACATGTCACAGTTAGATCACTAGAAGATAAATAACATGTCACAGTTAGATCACTAGAAGATAAAAATGGTCAATATATTATTACCATATATTCTTAACAATTACTTCCAATGACTTAACTTACGATATGAATGATTACAATATCACATTCACTGATGCCCAACACAGGCTGGAAATCAATGGGCTTTGATGGCTTTTATCTGAGGATCCTAAAAAACTGCGCATCTACTTCCACCACACCTTTTACAGTAGTTTACTGTAAATCGCTTAAAGATAGCATTGTTTCAGACCTCTGGAGATGATTAAACATTATGACTATCTTCAAGAAATTCCATATCAAAAACATCAAGCTATTGTTTTGTTTCACTTACATTCGTACCCTTCAAAGTTCTTGAGACCATTATACACAATCAAACTATGCAGTTACGCAATAAACACAGAATTAACACCAAAGAATAACATGGTTTTATGAGCTAAAGAAGCTGCATCACAAATCTAGTTGAAACAAGAGATATCTTAACTGAAGGTGTTCACCAAGGTAATACTATTGATGTAATTTACACTAACTTTTGTAATATTTTAGATAGTGCACCGTTGACTCCTGTGTAAACTCAGAGCATAAGGTTTAAATCTATTTAATTGGATCAAAATATTGTTCACCAACAGAAAACTGAGAAATTCTCTGTAATTATCATGTGACTAAAAGAGCATCACAATCGGGGTACCATAGAATTAGTTCTTGGTCTCCATTCTGAGTTCTACTGAGTGTTCTATTCTCAGTCTCTTATTTGTCCTTTTTATTATTAATCTCCCTTATAATATCACTAATTATGTTTTATAACTAAACAATTTTATATTTTCAAAAATTTAATTTTTGAAAACATTTTGATGCTTTGACATCTTGTAATTCACCAAATTAATTACTGAATGTAGAAACTATTTTTAAGTGATTTGACTAGAAAATAAAATTCTAAAAAAAAAAAAAGGTATTCTAAGTTTAAGAAAAAATCCTTAACAATTGGGAAAGTCCCTCATTATACACATGATATACAGGCTATATAGAGGTTAGTTATCATGCTGATATATGTGTGTGTAGTAAATGATCAGCTTTGATTTTTGACCTGGGTTGGGTTTGATAAAATAAAGCCGGGGTCGCGTTTGTGACTGGAGCTGCATAAGCATTTATATATCCTTAAGTTTTTGTTTTTTTTCAAAAGTTATGTTTGATTTTATATATAGATGCATTTATAAACATCATTATGATCAACATGATCATCGTGATCATCATCATAATCCTCATCATCATTATCATCATTGTCATCATTATCATCATCATCATTATGTCATTATCATCATCATCATCAGCAGAAGCAACAGCAGCAGCAGCAGGCTTTGGCCTTCTTCTTTTATGCTGTTTCCCTAATCATGGTCAATGCTTAAACGAGCTATTATCTCTATTACAATAAACCAAAACTCATTCTTGCTTGGCTTCTTATTCAACAAGTTGCATTCTTTTTTTGTATCTGTCGCTGTTTATTAAATACTGGCATAAATATATGCCAGAATTTAATAAATAGTAAATGTAAGTATAAAAATATAATATATAAAGAATTATAAATTTATATCTAGCCCCAGCTATCAACCCTTGCTAAATCTTACAATTTTGCTGGGGCCGGATTTGCAAAAAGTCTCATTTTAGCCGGGGCCAGGTTGTTTACTATGTGTGTGTGTATATATATACATCTATATAGTTTATATAATCATTTGCAAATTACATTTTCATTAATTTTTTCTTAAGAATTTTTTAAATTAGAGAAATAGTTGCTTTAATAAAGTCAATAATTGTAAACAGTCTCGATGATTACATAACAAACTTTTTTTTTATTTTTTGTAACACTTTTTATTATTTGCATTACAAAAAATTCAATTGTGAGTTTTACAGAATAAAAAAATGTAACCTTATTAACACATTGAAGATTTTCTTTATATCTATTAGATATGACCATTAAAAAATGAAAACTTTTTATGTTTTGTAGATGGGTTTTTTTATTTGGGTAAAATTAGAAAGCTTAAATGGTGACTTACTGTCACAATTTATAAATATTGTTTCTCAATTATAATAATGATTTTCATTTTACTTTTTTGATTTTTTATTTACATGATTGTAGTTTAACGAAAAGAATTTTGTGTTTTTTTTTTATTGAAGTTTTAATTTAATCTTTTAATAGCTCCAAAAGCTGAACGAACTTGCCATGAAGTTGCATGGAATGAACAAGAACCTAATTTAGTAATTTTTATTAATTTATTAAGTTAATACTAATTTGTTATAAATTTTTAGTATTTATCATAATTTATGAAAGTTATAATTTCAAATTAAAATAATGATTTTCGTAAATATCAAATCTAAATAACTAAAAAATTGTACTTATCAGTCATGTGATGGTTCCAAAAGCTATGTGGCATTGTCCTTTACTTTTTTATCCTTTAAAGACCTAAAATTTTTATTCACTTTACTCATACTTTCACAAATTAAATTGTTTAATTATGTGAATTAAATCGTTGAAACATTGAGCGCCAGTATATTAGTATTTTACATTATAAAATGCAAACATTATCTGCAATGTTTACTTTTACATCACAAATATGGCCTAAAACAGTTGTAATAATTTAAAGAAACAGCGTAAATTGACAGGGGTTTTTTAATTTATGTATCACTGTTGTAATCCCTTTATTTAACATTTAAGGGTTAACCCATAAGATTTAAATTAAGCGATTGCGACAATCAGATGAAAAAAAAAAAAAAAAGCAATTGCTGATTTTAACTATTAAAACTTTTTAGTTTTGATTTTTTTTTTTTGCTTGTTTTTTTTATTTCATTATTTAATTACTATGTACCCATGCTAATTAGTTTATTCTAAGTTATATGCCGTTATAAAACATAGCAATTATAAATTTATGGGTCTTCATATCAAGTATATGTGGTAAAATCCTGCATAAATAGGCTTTTTTAGAAAAATCCCGTATGGATTTTTTAGTACCAGCATGCCACTGGTAGTTATGTAGCAAATTTTTTATATTTAGTTAGCAGTTGGTTTAGACAAAGTTCGTTATGATAATTCTCTACTTGTTTGGGATGTTGAAACAAAATCTGGTATAGTTTTTTTATGCTATGTTATTTTTTAATATAGAATCCTCAATTGGGTTAGCAGAGCTGTATATTAATTTTTGTTAGTTTCATATTTAAATATTAACAAATATTTCAATATATAAAAAAAATGTTTTCGATTTTTAATGAAAATAAAGTTTAAAATTTTGATGTGCTTTCTTTTAAACTCTTTGTATTAGTTTTTTATTTGTATCAGTTTATATCATTTCTTTGTATCAGTTTATATCATTTCTTTGTATCAGTTTATATCATTTCTTTGTATCAGTTTATATCATTTCTTTGTATCAGTTTATACCATTTAGTGATTTCTCAAGTATTTGGTAACACAGATTCAAGGTAAAAACTTACTTTTTATTTTTTTTTGTTAGCATTAGCTTTTGCTAATGCTAACAAAAAAAAAAAGTTTTTAAGCTTTGTAGATTTTAAAATGATATTTTAAAAAATCTTTAATATTTTTACACCAAGTATATTAATATTAATAATAATTAGTATATTTATATTAACAATAACCAGGGGAGACCAGGGCTGGTTTTCAGCAGGGGTAAGTTGATGAAGTGCATTTATCTTCATAGCCTTTTAACAAAAAGTGCCAAAAAATTACATGGAACCTTCTTAATTGACCATTTTATTTTTTACTGGAGTATTTTTAGGATTTGCCTGTGCGCATGGGAGATATTGGGATTTTTGTGTTTTTTGAACAAAAATGTAACTTTTTGAATATCACTTCCTTTTTACTTTACAAAAAAATAGTTGAATGAAAAAAAAATTATTGAAAAAACTTCAGTTTTTCAAGTATTTTTAATTTATTATTTCTGATCTTTTTTTTTTTTTTTTTCATCAGTTGCTGTTTTTCAGGATTTTTAGGCTTTTGGGATAAGTTGGCAAAATTTTTCGGGACAAACTGGCTCATAGGATTTTCTATAGAAAAAAAAATTTATAAAATTATTTTTGTTTTTTATTTTTAACTTTTAACAATATTGAAATAATTTATTTTTTTAAAAATTAAAAGAAATTTTAGGTTGTTTTTTTTAACAGATAAAAAGTGGGTTACTGTTTTGGCTTGTTATATGAACTAATATTTGGTACCAACTGAAACTAATATAAAATTTTTGGCATAAAATTGTTGCTAAAATAAATAGTAAAAAAAAATTCTATACATTTTGCTTTTAACCCCGATGTTGGGTAAGTTAGCAAACTTTTTTTTTTTGAGGTCCCAGAAAGGCCCCAAGAAAGTTAAAAATGTTACCTAGATTCATACTCTTTAAGACTTTAATATTTACAAAACAATTTTCCATTAGGGCTACAGAGCTCAAAGAGTAAAAATAGAGGCAACTAGCCTCCGTCTCCCCTATATTTATTAAATTAGTATTGTTTTATTATCTTATACATTGTTATTTACTTTTGCTATAATTTATGATGTTGTACTAGTTCTAATAGTATAAATAATGCATCAAATACTTTTTAGATCTTCTGCTACAAGCAAAAAGGCAGTATTTGAACATGGTATCTCTTGATTTTGTATTCTTATTTTAATGCTTTATGGTATAATTTGTAGCTCATCCCATAAGTGATTTAATAAGGAAATAAAAATTTGATTTATGGCTAATTACTCTGACATTGACAGCCACATAAAGAATTTTTTTAAGTATTAATTAGAAAACAAGATGATAAAAACCATTTGTAGCCATTTTTTTTAGGTTTAAATTAGTTGTGCTAATGTTACTTTTGTTATTTTTTTGAATCATCTTGGTTGAAATCGCAAATCAAGTTTAATTGTCTCATACTGAAAATGAATGTAAGTTTAATTGTCTCACACTGAAAATTAATTGTCTCATACTGAAAATGAATGTAAGTTTAATTGTCTCACACTGAAAATTAATTGTCTCATACTGAAAATGAATGTAAGCTTAATTGGTTCACACTGAAAATTAATTGTCTCATACTAAAAATGAACGTAAGTTTAATTGTCTCATACTGAAAATTAATTGCCTCATACTGAAAATGAATGTAAGCTTAATTGTCTCACACTGAAAATTAATTGTCTCATACTAAAAATGAACGTAAGTTTAATTGTCTCATACTGAAAATTAATTGTCTCATACTAAAAATGAACGTAAGTTTAATTGTCTCATACTAAAAATGAACGTAAGTTTAATTGTCTCATACTAAAAATGAACATAAGTTTAATTGTCTCATACTGGCAAGCAGTTTGTTGTTTTATACTGTAAAATGATTGGTTGGGTAATATTGTAAATGATTAGTTAATCTATTCTATTTAAATGATCTGTTTTCCCATACCATGAGTTGTTCCAATCTTTGGTTTAAATAAAAAATTTTATACCGTACTTCTTTTTAATATGAATTGTTCAATAATTTTTTATTTAAATTTAAATTATACTTAGTTTAATAAATTTTATTTATGGCTTAAATAAGTTTGAATTTATATTTGTACTATTTATAGGTAAAATAAATATTAAACTTGTTTTTATTTATAGATTGAATAAATATTAAATTTATTTTTATTTATAGGTTGAATAAATATTAAGTTTTTATCATGTGTTAGGGGCTTCTGAATCTACAGTATCGGTTCAATGGCTTCAAAATAAACCAAGAACACTAGTTGCAGGACAGGGTTCAAAATGGCTCAGGTTATTTGATATAAGATGTAAGAAATTAATAGTTTAGTGTGTTAGTAATAAAAATTAGAGAACCTATATACTCAAAGAGTGGACACAAAATGACGGCTATGTTTTTATCAATTTACTGCGTGGCATAAATGAATTAAAATTTAAAAAATTATAAAACACTATAATAACGAAAATAAAAACAAAAGTTCATTTTAAAAATATAAACTTGACAAGAATTTTTAAAATTCATTTTTTTTCAGCAAAAAAAGAACTTCCACTTTTTGTTCTTTGTATGCGGCATTTTTAGTTCTAGAAGTTATGTACCTTGCATTACTAAACAAACAATTTTGCTCAACATTTTAGATTTAGCCGGAGGTTTTATCTCAATCTTTAGGTAGAACAATGGGATTTTTTTTGTTGTGGGTTGTGCACTTTACTCTTTACTAGGTCAAGAAAACCTGATTAGAAGTTTTAAGTAATTTTTGAATTAAAGAACTGTAGAAATTACTTGTTTTGCACCAGTGAAAAAGATTTTTAAGCAGTCCTGGGTAAATCACTGTCATAAAAAAAGTCATTTTTTTTCTAGAAGAAGCTTAATTTCCAAGTTAGTAATTGGTGTTGTCAATAATATAAAATCAAATTAAACACGTTTCTACTTCATACATATAATTCACGGAATATTTCAATGATTTCATTTGAAAAAGTTATTGTAAACTTATGATTTTGCTTGCTAAGAGCCATACGATAGTTTTGTGATGTCATTATTATAAACCATTTATCAATAATTCAGTTAAATCAAGCAGTGGAAGTTGTGAGCATAAAATCATCTATTTTTAATCTACAACTGTTGTTGTTCTTATTTATACTTTAATTTTGTTGAAATGTTTTTCATCAAGATGCTCAGATTTTAATACAATTTTCAAGAAGTTTTAATACAATTTTCAGATCCATGAAAAAAAAAACATTCATGAAAGTCTACAAGCTTGTGCAGGTGTTTTGAATCTATAATTGGTGATAGAAGTTTTTTTTTTGAATCTCAGCTGTAATTATGATATGTCTTCTACATAAGAAAGAGGTATTTTATATTTTTTAATAAATATGTCACATTTCCTAAATAATCATTGGCACAAGTTGAATCACATGGGTGTTTAATTGAATTGCAAATATTATCATTCTTAATATAGCTAATATTAAAAGATCTCTGCATTGCCTGATTAATGGACCTACATCAAAAGTAACGCTTTTAATTTTTAATCATATTTGTTCAGTAGACTTTATCATAGCTATGTTAATATTTTTTAAATACATTCATTAAAAAAACTTCCATTATAATAATATGCTGCAGTTTGTTTTTATCTTGTAAATATTCCTCCAAGCATAAAAAAGTATGGTTAGCTTGGCTATATTGGCAATGTAACAATTCCATAGTATGAGCTTGTAGATATGTTATAGTTAATACCATCATTTATTGACATTTCATCAAGAATTAAAGTACATTCTTTTTCATAATATTTGCTTTAGTTTTCATAAATGTTTACAAATATTAAAAAAAACATGTCTGCTCTCTGAGTATATAGGCTCTCATAAAAGCTAGAAGTCAACAAATCAACTTCAATCCAATTAAAACAAAATTAGTCAAAATACAAAAAAAAAAATTTTTTACACTTTTCTGGCAACTAATGACTATAGGCTGGGTGAATAAAAACTAAAGGAATTTTTCCTAAGTTTTTATTTACATAAAGACGAACAATTACTAAGTAAATTGCTTAACTTTACGTGAATAAAAATTTGAGCAAAACTGCTGTTTTTATTCACGTAAAGCTGACCAATTACTGAGTAAAAACAATTGCTCATATTTATTCACCCGGCCTTATATTAATTAAATATTTTAAAGCTTTTCCTTTTTTATTGCTTTATCATATTTGGTTTTAATGATTTCATTTTATCTACTGTTTTATATATTTCATTCAGACTTCTGTTTTAATGATTTTATTTAGCACCGGACCCAAAAATCTTAGCCACTACCAAAGCTATTAATGGTATAAGTGTTGATAAGAATAACTGCAATCGTATTGCTTCATTTGCAGAGGTTGGTTTTTTATAAAAAAATGTTGAAAAATAGGAAATAAATTTTCTTATGTATACCAGAAGTTGCATCTAGCGCTCATCATTCTAAACAAGAAACAATTTAGGACAAGTTTACATTTACACCAGCTTAAGAAAGAAAGGGTATGAAGGAAATATCTGATCAACAATAAATATCTGTTTTTCCCTTTTTTTCTTTATAACGCTCTCTTCAAAGCAATATAACAATATAATCTTTTATTTTTCTTCATTCAAGCACCATAAGGCAGGGTAGGTTTAATGTCTGAGATTTTTTCTAACCTTTGTCTGTAAAAGCAAATTCTTCAAGGCAGAAGGTCATTTGATAAGTTGTTCTAGATTACATGTTTGTGTAAGTGGCAGGCCTGATCTAGCTCAAAGAAAAGAGTTATAATACTTTTTTTTTAATAATAATAAATAATTAAAAAACCAATAATAATAATTGGAATACCAATAAAGACTACAATATATTTTTATTTTATTCAAGTGTAAAGTGATTTGTCAAATTCAAATGTCATTTTTTAAAATCAAGAAAATAAAGACTATAACAATCAGAAATTATTTGTGGATCATTTTTTTAAATGTAACTTTATGTTTTCCACATAGTTAGTCCCAGTATGGAAATATTTATTATATAGTTTTATTTTTAATACTTTATAGGGTGCTGTACTTGTATGGGATATACGAAACAGTGAAAAACCAGTATCCTTTTTGTTTTGAAGTTTTTTTTTTTTTTTTTTTAAACAAATTCTTGTTTTTTTGTTAAAAAAATAAGTTTCTTAACTAATTTGTAGTTAGTGACAATTAATCAGTCAAAATCAGTTTCAAAGATTCAATGGTGTCCATCAAGGTATTATTAATTATTGTAATTATAAAAATATTATTTAGTCAGTATATAATCTTGTTGCATGTAGATATAAATTTAAACAGTTATAGTTTAACATAAAGTCACACAAATTACATAACATAAAACTACAACTAATAATCTTGCATAACTTACTTACATACTATACTGAAATAGCCATCAGATGAGGGTATTGATTTAGACTGCCAGTTTATGAAGAACATTTATTAAGGCAAAAAAAGTTGTTTTTTTCATTATTTTACTTATAATAAAATAGCGACAAAAATATATATGTATATATATTGCAATACTCAACTTTTAGTTTTAAGTAAATTATCAAATAAACTAGAGTTAAAAGTGCCATATGAGATGTCCATAAAATTGGTTAAATCATTGCAGAGACAGATTTATTTGCTATCAGTCAAAAACAAGACACTTAAAATATTTTTTTGAGTTCTAAACATTAACTCAATAAACTTATATACAGCTCATTTTCTTGTTCACTTTGTCTAATTTTATTCACTTAGTTATAATATATTTATAACTAAGTGAATAAACAAGATAAAATACTTTACCTACAAAAGTTGTTTTCCATTTTTTAATAAAAAAAATTTTCTTCAAAATTGTAGCATAGCATGAACTTTATGTAAATAAATTTACACATTTGCCGTATGCGTAAACTGAAAAGTTATTCTTTTTTATGACTGATGTTCCGCATACAAATGTATTTTTATTGAATTTTTCAAAAGCTCTGAATATTCTTGGCAAGTTTTACTACAAATTAAAGTTACTTCATTTGATTCATTTGTTTGAAAGCCACAGGATTTAAACCCCCCATTTTTCAATAACAGTTCTGTTGAGCATTATGACTTGTTTTGAGTTTGCTTTATGTAAAGCTTTCGTGTTTCTTATTTTGAATGGATTTAATGAAAAGCTTAACTTGCATCAAATTTAAAAAAAATTTAATGTTTTTTAACATATTTCTTCTCCACATGTGTTTAACATAATAGACTTTCTGACTTTAAATAATATTAAAATAATGTAAATGAATGATTGAAATAAATTAATATTGGATTTTAAAACATAATTAAATAATTATCAAGCTAAAATTTTGAGTAAAAAAGCAGAAATTTGAAAAATAATTTTTATTAACTTTTAAATGAATTTTTAATTTTAAACCTTGCTATTATTGAATAAATTAAAGAAAAAAACGAAAAAATAGATTTAAAAAAAAAGTAATAACAATAATAAGTTATGAACTTATTAATGAATGAATACTACATATTTTTTTAAATATATTTATTTTTCCATGCCCATTTTTTAAGAGATTCAAGTTTTTTTTTATTTATTTCAATTTACCTCTCAAGGTTATGAAGGCCACTTCAGTCAAGGATTTAGTTGTGATTACAACCCTCTCTTAACTCTATAGCTCAGAAACACGAACCTTTGCAAACAAGGCTGTTGCACAGAGAAACAAGTTGAGCGTGGTACTACCAGGGACGTGGTGGGGATCAAACTTGGAACTTCTTGCTTATGAGGCTAAATAAAGCTTAAGAAATTTTTAATCACCTTAATAAACAATATAAAAATTTGAAATTAACTATGGGAAAAAAAAAGTTTAAATGTACTTATTAAAAAAACTAAATTCTTTTCCAAATCAATTTATCAAGAAAACGGTTATACAAGTTTTTTACAGATTTTTTTAGTTTAGTTCATTCTTGCAACAAATCTGGTCTTATGCGTTGTTTGATTGATCAAACATATAAAGTTGATAGTTTCTTGGCTGGGGTTTGATGAAGACATAAATTATTCATTTATTTTACAAAATAATTCACAAAAAAGTATTGGGGTTGAAATAAAATTTGAAATTGACATAAAAAAATTAACCCAACTGTTTTTATTTTTGTTAATAACTCAAATATAAATTATTCGAAGCTTCCATTTATTAGAGTTAGTTGAACTAATATGAAACCTCCAGATGTTTAACAACAGGATAAATGAGACAGCTAGGATAATGAGTCAAAACTAAACATTCCAAATTATACAAACATTTAAATATATTATTTAATTGCAAAAATCTAAATTTGAGGTTTTGGATACTGCTCCAACCCAACATAAGTTAAATGTAATAAAAAAGTGTTCCACTTTAAATAGGAAAATCATTCACTTAATAAACAAACCTCTCATTATACTAATATTATATATTTTATTAATTTAGCTGTCAGTATTTTTTTTATATATATATATATGTATATATTATTATATATACATATATGTATATATATGTATATATATATTATATATATATGTATATATATATATATATATATATATATATATATATATATATATATATATATATATATATATATATATACCAAATCATATTTGTAAACATTTTTAGTGGTTTAGCATAAAAAAATTTTGTCTTCTAATATTTCTTTATAAAGTCTTCTGTTTTGGGTATTTCAGAGTTTTTATTGTGAAATTAAAAATGTAATAATAAATAACAAAACATGTCAAGATTAAAAATGCATTACCGTCTATAGTTATTCAAATGTCATAAACTTTATTTTAAAAATGCTTTAGTTTGATAGTTTTTTTATGTTTATCTTTGCATTATTATTTGCATTATTAGATAATTTAATAATTAAAAAAGTATTTTGATGTAAATGCTTTGATAAAAATATTTTTAAAAATGTCAAGTGGAAAAAACTACATAAAATGTGGACCATCAAATATATGTATGTATATATCGATGGTTAAGAGCACAAAGGGAATTCCTCCACTAAACATTGTTTTGAGAAATCTGAATTTGAAAGTTTAAAAACATACAATAATTCATGATATTTATTTATTGTCATGATTTTTAATTAAATGCATCTTACGATTGGTCGACTGAAGCTTAATATTTGTACCATAGTACCCTTATCACTTAACTGAATGGCGTGCGCGCAATAACTCAAAAGCGTAAAATGTTGGACATATTCCCTTTGTGCTCTTAACCATCGATATATATATATATATATATATATATATATATATATATATATATGTATATATATATATATATATATATATATATATAAATTATATATATATATATTTATATATATATATATATATATATATTTATATTTATATATATATATATATATATATATATATATATATATATATATGTATGTATGTATGTATGTATGTATGTATGTATGTATGTATGTATGTATGTATGTATGTATGTATGTATGTATATATATATATATATATATATATATATATATATATGTATATATATATATATATATATATATATATATATATATATATATATATATATATATATATATATATATATATATATATATAAATTTCTTAGAGCTCATATGTTAACTGTACTTCAAAAAGACAGCTCAGTTGTTAAGTGCTATGATCTGCAGTATTTATCAGGTATCATTTTTAAATTTATATTAGATTTTAATAATTATACATAATTATCTTTATATCTAGATTAATATATAACTATATATTTGCTTTATCATTAGATAAAAAAAATTTAAAAAAATATAAAATATGCAGAGTCTATCCCACACCAACCATTTCTAAACTTATTCCTTATTTACTTCAATATTTTTAATAAATGGTAGAACAAATCGATTAAAAATTGCCCTTATAGCAAAAAAAATTATTATGCACACTTTTTCTGCATACTTAAAGCTTATTGGAACCCTCACCTTCTTCCTCCCTTCCCTTCCTCCTTCATTATTTAAGTCTGAACTTAACAATTTCCTACGCAGATTTACCTAGTTAAATAACATAAACACATAATATAAGTACGTAACTATTGGGCGACATTTTTTCCAAAATGTTTTTCAAAGTTTGATGGTTTATTAAAATTTCAACCCTCATAAAGTCTATATTTATTTACAAAGCAACTTTATTAAATTTTAATCCTGATTTTAGCAAATTATTAAATTATGACTTAAGTTAGAACTATCAAATAAAATAGGGAGGATTAAGCCATAGTAAATTAAAAAACTATTGTTATAAAACAATTAACTAAAAACTCTAGCATAAGTACTAGCTTAATATTTTGGTTTTGAGTTTCTCTGAGCAGTAAGGTAATAGTTGTCAAAGGTTCAAATCCTTTTCTCAATAAACTAAATACAAAAATTAAAAACAAAACAGTTAAAGCAAAAGACTTCTAATTTGTTAGAAAAGTTTTAAAAGTGTTCTTATATTATACTACGTGTATCTTAAACTATTTTAAATGGATGCAACTATACTGCATATCATCTATTATGATGATATGCAGTATAGTTGCGTCCATTTAAAATAGTTTAAGATACATGGTTCTTAAATATACTATCACTTTACCTACTGTTAGTAGTACATACAAACTTACAGATGTTTGTATGTTTTCTTCATTTAAATGTTACCTATTGCTTCTTATATTTCTATATTACATCACTATTAATAAAAGAATTCTATTTAGTTGTAATTCATTCACATATAATTATTATTTCTATGTGTTTTTTTATTTATTTTTGAAATTTTGAAATTATTTTAATTTTGCTCATTTTTTTAATGAATTTCTATGTAATGCTGCTATGCAATATAGTTGCGCCTATTTAGTTAAAAAGTGTTGAAACATTTTGAATAACACTATACAAATTTTAACATTAAATTTAAATTTCATAGAATTTTTTAACCGTTTGCTATTGTCTCTCTATGGTTTCTATTAGTATTTTTTTCCTGACTTTTACTAATGATGTCTTTATATGGTGTTGTTTATGTTTCTATTGGTGATGTGTTTATGTCTTTTTCATATTTTGTCTAGGTTTTTATTGGTGTTGTTTTTAGATTTCTATTAGTGTTGTATTGTATAGATATTTTTCTGCAGTCTCAGATGTTATGGATAATACTCTGTTGTTATAAACTGTTTTGAGTTTGAGTAATGTTAGAACATTCAGGACATGCAACTCTATATTCTTAGAATTTCTTCATATTTTAATGATACTGAGTACTAAGTAGTTAATAAAAGTTGATAAATCCTAAAAAAAATGGAGAGTGCAACTTTTTCTTTCAACTAAACTACTTGTAACTTTTTTTTAGCTAAAACAGGCTCTATTCTCAATAAAAAGTTTCAACTTTTAAAAACTTTAAAAAAAATCTCTAAAATCTATAAATATTCTGATATATTTAGAGGGCTTGTACAGTGAACGATTAAATATGCAAAATTCAAGGCCCGGACAGTGAACAAAGAAATATTTTTTGTAATCAACAGTTAAAACCAAATGGTTTATTCTTAAAAAAGATTAAAAGTTTTTAAAACTGTGAAAAACTTCAAATCAATTGTAAAATTTGTTTTAAATTTAAATACCAAAATCCCAGTACATTTATAATGTACTAAATTTCAGTTATCTATTTAAAGCAAAACATAATGAATCAAAAATCTTATTAAAAAAATATCACTTAAGAAACTAGACTTTTTTTTTGTACTAGCGGGTTTTTTTTGTACTAGCGGTTTTTTTTTGTACTAGCGGTTTTTTCATATCTTTATTTTCTGCTTTTTCTGTTTCTCTTATAGTCATTTGTAAAAAGAAAAGTGTGGTGTCTTTTCTCTTCAGAATCTGTTTATCAGGTTTTAAACTAGTAAAATGGCCTTTCAGAGC